AGCCACTGCAGGGCAGTGGTCAGCCTGCGGAACAGCGCTCGTTTCGCTGTAATATTCATTCCTGTGATACTGGTGACCATGCACTGAAAATTCGCCGAAAATTCTCATTCCCAATTCCGACTTCGCATACTTCACTTCGGCCGACGGCTTCCATGTCGCAGACCGAACTGGCCGATATCGACTACGGGTTGATTGGTTGGTTAGCGTCTGAGGAGCTGGTATGTTAGCCTTCGTTTGTTCACTTGTTATTTGATGTTTTTGGCATTTTACCGAGTACAGTAATTAACAACCGCTATTTATTAAAAAAATTTAAAGATATGTAGAACATAAGAACACTTCCGTCAGATGCACTATATATAAATACCGCAAATACAAAATGAACCGGCGAACTGATAGTTCTCTGATTCTGAGTGTTCTGTCATATTTCCACCTGGCCGATTTCTGTCAGCTCTAACATTTTCTCTATCACACAATCATCAGGCATCGGTAAACTAATGATTGTTTCTGCTTCTGACGAATAACCTTGATCGTCCAAGATTTCTCGCAATAACTCTGCAACCTTTATGGCCATTTCTCCTTGACATAGTCTTAAACGTACAAAACAATATAAAAGCAGAACTAAAACAGCAGGATCAACGCAAGGATAGGAAGTTGAACGGGTTCAATCTTAACGTAACTCTCTACCTCCTGAATCTTTGAGGTATCCTTCTGTCACTCTCTAGCAAAGTAATCTAAGTAAATACAACGGCTTATGAATAAATGCGGCATTAAGACAATATGCCGTTTCCAGCAGAACTTAGAGGGTCTTCTATATAAGAAAGTAATCCTATCGCAACAAGAAAGCCCTGGGGAAGTGCACTTGTGGTGACAGGTACTGTGAAACTGAGGGAAACTCAGAAACAGAATACGGGAACATATGGTCTGACACTAAGCAAACGATAAAGGTTCAGCAGTGGCAGAGAGCATCGTAAAGAACCATGTCTTCGAATAGCAATCCAAAAAAAAATAATTCAAAGAGAAGGAAACTGGAACTGAAAAAAGATAAGATACTGAAATCCGTAATAACGAAAAAACCCAAAAATAAAATTAATAGGCGGTAAGAGTCACAAGATTAACTCGGCTGCACTATTAATGCTGCAGTACCCAACTTTGTTGTGTTAGTTGTTCCATATGAGTTGTTCCATGTGCTCTATCTATGACCCCTGATCAAGAGCAGCACAAAAATACTTTAAATATAAGCAAATGTCTGTTCTGCATATATTAATAAATTGTCACCAATCGTGATTAATTATCAGCAGCCCAATGAATATTCTCACCTTTGCAGCGGAGTTTTGCACGTCATCGAAGACAACTTCTTTGCGAAAGTGACAAGTTTATGCCTGGTCATTTCCCTGTCAAGAGGGTGCTCGTGGCCCTAAAATTAAATCAGATGTGACAGTGCTAATTCGCTGACTAGCGTCTGTGTACTAAAACATATTTCTTCCAAGAAATCAGTGTTTCCAAGTAGTTTTCATAAATCTCGCCCTGCAAACTCCATCCGCGTATGTTTGTGCTGTGTGCTTTCAAAAGCATCGTAATCTTCTTCAATTCGTCCAAACGATCTGTAAATGAAAATTAAAGGTAAAATTTACTTCTGCTGAACAGATAATTGATTCGAGTTGAAATAGAAACGAGTGATAGATAAATTCAAAATAAGAATGACAGCAGAAATGCCGGAGCTGGAGCCATTTGTCTCTAGAATGAGAGCGAATGAAGGCAGTATGAAGTTAACACGAAGCGTGGTGATCCTCAAAATAGATTTCAGCAGTAACACATTTTTATCGCTGATTCCAAGGTTTGACCGAAAAGAACGTTTCATTCTGGAAACAACTATCATAAATACTGACACCTGATGTAACAGCGTCTACGTTTGTGAGGAGCGCGTAAACAAACGAATGGAATGAGGTAAGCGGCTAAGGTTAGAATTAGGCGAAACTGCAGATAGACAAAGAAAACATTTGGAAATCTTCTCCAACACCGAACCTCTTGACTGACCCTTAATAAAGTTGCTGATAGTTCAGAGCCAGTCGTATTATAAAAGTGCAAATACTTATGTACCGTGTCTTTACGCCCCACGGAACCTCTATATATCTATGAAATTGGAAATCACCTGATTTCCTAGAGGCATTACTCTACGCTTTAAAGCCTTCACAACTCAAGGCCATTTCAACCTCTCATTAACGTCGTACACAAAGGATGACGAATCTAATATGACGCGGTATGGAGAGATAAAGTACAGATGAGCAATTCCTTTCAGAAGCTATGACAGTCGAGTGGTGTATGAATAACTTGAATAGAATTAATAGCCAACGTCCTGCAAAATTTTTTTTTGAATTTGAGTGGTCGTTCTTTGCTAACTCTAGGTCTCTTTCATCATGTCCTATCAATATCCAAAAGTAGCGACCCCTAAAATCAGTAACAAGTACCATTTTCAACTGTTCTTCCTCAACATGTGGCCAAAATATAGCATTTTCTGCTGCTGTACTTTCTTAAAGAGCGGACTTTGAAAATCATGCTATTTTTAAATCATTATAGCAAATTCACAAGAATAGTCAGGAACATCGCATTTCAAACGCTTCGATGATCTAGTACTCTCCCTCCTGAAGGGTACAACTTTTAAATTAATAGGCTGCGAAAGACTACTCAAACATCTCATGAGCCTCAGCTTGGTAAGTTTGAATGTCGTGATTTCGACATATTCAGGGCAGTGCTGTCACGCAGTTCCCAGTCTTGCGGTGACCATTCTGATTACCAATGGAGCCAAGGTAGTGATCTGCCATGACTATATTTCTCGTGGGAATGTGTTCTGCATCATCATGTTCATCATTTTAGTTTTAGTCAGGTTAAATTTCAGACCATACTGTTTGCTCATAATGCCAACTTACCCTACTTCGTAATTCTACTAGAGACGTCACAATAAGTTTCATACAAAGTCAGCGCCTGGCAGGTACGGAATATCTCCTACGAAAGAAGAGAAAATACCTTATCCATTTACTGACTCAACAATGGAGATGAAAGTCAACTTTTCAAATTTTACATTCGACGTAAACGTATAAGGAAGTTTACCATTTACAACACAAAGTGGGCCGGTGTGGTTGACAAATAGTCGATGGGCAGCGATCCAATCGTTGGCTTCCAAGTGACAGAACGTCTCTTCGACGAATAGTCCCTTTGCGTGGAAACGCGCCGCCTAAATAATTACAAATACGTTTGCGATTACCGCCTACAAGAGAACTCTTTCAAAACCTTTGCCTCGGCAACCAGTCCATTAGCGACTCCCAAAGTATTGATGATGAAGTGTACACCTTCTTTGTCATCACAATGCCGGCTAACAATGCTTCGGATGTTCCATGCGCGCATAGCGTTATTCTCTACGTGCATCATTACGAAAACGGCCCATGGCCACATGTGATTCTGGTCCAGCTGGGAAGCGAAATTCGACAGCATAAGCTCCTTCGACAAATGTGACGTGTGGTTGTATTCCATGGCGCACAATAACCGCCAAAGCAAAAAGCTACAATCGTACAAGTTAAGACTACACGAAAGAATTAAGAAACTGCATGTAGTACCTTAAACGGTAGTCAGATGGGTCGGTAGTCCATGCAAACGTTGAAAGCAGTTGCTCCAATGGATGATATCGGTTCGTGTACAGTTTTAACATATGGTAGCAGACATCATACTTGGTCTTACCACAGAGGGGAACGATACTGGTGGTCGAAGATATGGCAAGGGGTGCCGCAACACGAGTGTAAGGGTCCTGCGACTGCCAACTTGCTTCGTACTTGGAAACAGCGTCACCGATGCACAACGATCCGCCGCGGTAGTACCATACAAAGAAACTAAACACCTGCGTCCACTCGAGGTCCACTAACAGCTGCAGCCAAGTGCCATTTGACTTCTGCCAAGTGAAAACACCGGCACAAACCATATACAATTTCAAAAGATCATCGTCGATGTACATGTCAGCCTAAACGATAATGAAACCACCGTTAACGAAAGAAAAAGAATTTTTTGACGACTGGAAAGGCAATATACTTTACACTTTATGATAGGCACAATTTGAAGCACCCTTCATTTTATGGAGCTTATTGACGAGGCACAAATCTTATTTTTGTGCAGTCAGGCAGGAGTGCTTGATTTTACAAGCATGTCTGCACCTATGTTGCAAGCATAGTGTGTAACCTTCAGTTTTATTTCAAATTAGTACCCATTTAACTACCTCTGAAGCAAAAAACATGAAATGACTGGGCTCGAAAGGAGGAACTCCACTAACTGAGCAACCCGGGCTCATTTTTGAAGAAATAGTACAAAATATACATCATAAGCAAGAAGGTAATTCCAAATGACAATAAAAGTGTTAATTTTCGACATTTATTCACCTTAACAGTGAATTCGTGGTGTTAAACTGTACTGCAACTCACCTTGATCTGTTGCCACTTGTTCAACTGCGCGCTGCAAAGTGCAGCAACTTCACATGCGTAGCCGAGCTGTGAAATGATCAGCGACAGATGCCAGTAGTTGTTACGCTGAGCGACTTCCGCAGCCTCCGCAATTCTGTGAGACAACAGCAAATCGAATATGTCTTTTAGACAATTACCCTAAAATAAGATGAATTTTCAAGAACACGGAAACAATGAGTCGACAAATTAATTAAATTAAATTTGTGATTAACCACGTTCTTGGTATTGCTCATACCATTTGTCGCGAGAAAGATTATCCTTTTATAAGTATTTACCAATTGCATGTATAACTGATTTTATACTAAACCTAGTGTCAACACCCTAAAGGATGAACAACACCAGAATGAAAGCGTATGCCACAGTAAAGTGAATATCCTGAAGCTATACTACAGCCGTGAAGAAGGCCTCTCATGAATCCAGAAACAGTTGACTAACTGATCATAATCATCGACAGAGACTGGAGGATAACCAAAACGAATGTTTCCATAAGCGCATTTTGATTTTTCGCACATTCCATTCCACCATACATGGAAAGACTTCAAAAATCAGGAATTGTAGACCAGAACCTCGTGCAAGGACCATAAATGGTTCATGCAGATCTTCATTCGAAACATAACTCTAACTCACATTGCGGTGGGAAGGAAAAATCCTCTATTAATAGCACGGAGCAACAACATTCTCATTATTTTCAGCCTCGATAATTATAAAAACAACGCAGGCTTATTGTAAACCCAACTTTAAAAGAGAACGAAAACCTGTGAGGAAACGAATGTCGCTCACTAGAACCTGTTTAACTCGGAATCCGCACTATTGAACTTCAAACAGTACTATAAACAAAGACCATATCAAGGCTTACCGACTGAAAATGAGCCAAAAAGCACTAAACTCAGAAACTGCGAAGCCTGATACTAATTTACCTTCTTTTTCCGTTTTTCTGACATTTGGTTACATAAAACCAGCCAGTCGGTTAGCATCTGCAGCCGACAT